ATTACTTTTATTTTAAAGCTTTACTTACTAATTACTTTTCAGCGCTGGAATAATACAAAAATAACTGTATAACCAAAAGACTTTATTGATCTTCAGTGGAACATTCAAAAGACTTTTATTTGTAACAATATATATAAACAGTATATAAAATTGCCTTACTCATGAAGCCCTGATGCACTGGTCATTGAGAAGTGCAAACAAACCAAATTCAACAATGTATGGGCAATTTTTCCAAATGATTATTTGTGTAATACATACAAAGAAAAATCTGGGGATTACATGCACTCAAGAAGAAACATTTTGATTTTCACAGTTTCTTTACAGGCCTGACTCACCTGATTAGGGTGTGGCGCACAATACAGTGCATGAGTGAATAGATTCCTTGCTCTTGGCAAGATAAACAAGAAAATAATTTGAATCTTTTTCCGCATTTGAGACATTTTACTAAAATGAAGCATGGCATTAGAACATTATTGTGAACAGTATATAATGCAAATGCTGTTACAATTGGCACTAAAAGTAGCACATGCTTCAAGTCAGGAGCAAGTCATCCTTGATTAATTACTCTTTCTTCTCTCATCAGTTCCACTTGCCAAGTTTCAGTAAACTCCCATAGCAAGGTTGGTTCTCACAGAGAAAATGAGTTTGTGAACATTCCTTTACATGTGCTGACTAGAAAACCTGATAAGTCATATGCTGTATCGAGAGAGATGAAATACAATCATGCACTAGATTTGTGGGTGTTACTGCCTTTGAAGAAAAGTGAAACGCATTAATTTCATAATCCAGTGTCTTTTAAGTGGTATTTAATATTTATTGTGATGTTTTTCTAATAAGGTCAAAGCTGTAATACGGTGAGGGCCTCATTTTTGTATTGTTTTTGCAGAAGGGTTGTCCTTCTCATTTACAGCAGTTACTGTCTATGCATAAAAATGTGCATGAAAATATTTCATAGTTTAGTTTTGTTTTGTGATATTGTTTAATAACATTATTTACATGTCTACAACAGATACTATGTGTTTTAAGTTGTGGATACATAAATCTTTAGGGTTACAGTGTAGACGTCTGCAGAACAGTTTTAATGTTAGAGTTATTAAAGATTTCTACAATAGATACGATAGTTAAATAAGGTATTTCCATTTTTAGTCAAGGTTCAACAGCTTACCATACTGTTGGAGTGTGGTTGGGCAGGACCTGTCAGGTTTGTCATACCTTTCACATTGTTTTTGATCACGTCTTGCTTCATACTGAGGCTAGTTAGGCAGTTTTTTCTAGGCCTGAGGTCATTCTCCCAGAGTGCTCACTACATTTAGTACAGTATAAAAGCTCTGTCAAACTTTTCTGGTTCACCTCAAGACACTGGTGTGCAGGTCATTTCTTGCAAACGATACTATAATTCCTCATCTGTCATTTAGCATATCAGTATATCAGTGTCAGCCTGGCTTCCATTCCCCCTTTAGGTCAGAAAGCATGCACAAAGTGCACCTTAATGAAAGTGCGCATTGTAAACACACTGTTAAATGCTACCAAACAAAACTCTACTGAATGATCTTGTGCTATTACAGAATTTAGATTTTTTGTTTCTGGCTGAGGGTGGCACAGCGGTGTCGGGGTTAGTGCTGGCACAGCGAGAAGACTCTTGGTTTGAGCCTTAGCCAACCCGGGGCCTTTCTGTGTGGAGTCTGCATGTTCTCCCTGTGCCTGTATGGGTTCTCCCCAGGTATTCTGGCTTCCTCCCACAGGCCAAAGACATGCAGCTTAGGTTGACTGGTAACTCTAAATTGACTGTAGAAGTGAATATGAGTGTATGCGGTTGTTTGTCTATGTGTCAGCCCTGTGATAAACTGGTGACCTGTCCATAGTGGACCCCACCTCTCGCCCTATGTCAGCTGGGATTGGCTGCAGCCCCCCATGACCCTGTTCAGGAATGAGCAGTATAGATAATGGATTAATGGCTGTTTCTGGCTTATACCTGGCAAAAAAATATGGAACACGGCTGTTTTAATGAGCTGGTCAGCATCGTGAAACCCTCATCTTGCCCCAGTCGTCTTTGTTTAAAATGTCACTGGTTCAGTTGGTCATTGCATGGCCTGCCCCAATTTGTCTCAGACAAAAACAGCTATTAAATGGTTACTTTAATTTCATCCCATGTTATTGACTATAACTGCATTGTCAGGTTTACTCGGCCGCTCTGGCCTCCCTCACCTTTCCTACTGTCTCTTGCCCCATTACTCTTATCACGTTCACCTGTTCCTCACTCCCTTATCACCAGCTGCACTTGATTAGGTTGCTCACTATATTACCCGGTTTCACTCCTCAGTCACTTGCCAGTTCGTTCTAGTCTCTAGGCCATTTTT